CATGCCACAAAACAGTAAGGAAGAATAGATCTTTCAAATCTATGAAAGAATACTGCACCAAAAGTGACACATTTTCTGTTTGACTTCAGAACTTTTTCTTTTAAGTGTTTTTTTCTCTCCCTTGTTCCGAAATCCTAAGTGACGATTTTTGTCATTTGAACTTAGATCCCTCTTCATTTACATTTTCACTCTGCAGTGTGTAAACTTAAGATTTTAATCTTACATGACATGAATGTGAAGGTACATCAAAGTTCATAGCACTTACCAATCAGACATTCAGTGGAAAAAACAAGTTGATAACAGATGTATGGCAAAAATACTGGACTTATAATCGTACTCTCGCCTTGCAAATGTTTTCCACTTCTATATATAACAAAATCCACATTTTTCATCGTTCAACTCAGTTTCACTAAAGTTGAAATTTTATATAACATTCTATATAACATTGTATTGCATGATTTACCATTCTCATAACTATTACATGTAACTATAATTGTGTATGTGCAAATGTAGGATATTCAGTATTATACACACCATTCACTCTTCACCAGCACAAGTTACACAGAAGCCTCAGCATCCACTCTACGGCGCTATTATTTCAGCACACGCTTTTCTTTCAAAAGAACGAATGCTTAGGTTACCGATTCAGCGGAAAAGGATAATTTACGCTCCGCGATAAGCGCGATAAGCCTTGAAGGCCGACTTCGGCGGTTTGGGGTTTCGTGTTTTAAAAAAAAAATAGAAAAAGAAATGCGAATGCCACTCGCCGAATAGCAGCGGCCTCAACAACAACAACAACAACAACAACAAAAAAAGACGCGAGATTGCATTGTAAGAAAAATTGCCTCATTTGACAAAAGGTTTCAGTGCCGAAGCTATTCATTTGAGCACCGTGGACAGCTCCGGCTGATGCGCAGTGACTCCGGCTGTCAACACTGCAGTGAAAGCACTCGCTGTCAGAAGAAACATTGCACTGGTGGTCGCACCGCGTTTTTAAGCAATAATATCACATCAAAACCACTTATAACCAGCAGCGGGATTATCAATCACTTCTCTCTCCAGCCCACCCCCCCCCCCCCAACTCTCTCTCTGTGTGTGTGTGTGTGTGTGTGTGTGAAACACACGGCGAAAGACTGGGACAGAAGGTAACTTCCAGCTGTGACACACACGAAAGTGCACCCCAGTTTGCGACTCGGGACTCTTTGCGGGGTGGGGGGAGGGGGGGTTTGCGTTTGCGTTGTGCAAAGGCACCTTCGTGCCGCAAAACACCCTCGCAAAAAGAAGAAAAAAAAACACGACCGCTTTTTGTCTGCGAAATGCTCCGAAACGTCCGTCCCCCCCCCCCCGCCCCCCCCCACCGCCCCCCCGACGCAAAGGCGGTGGAGCAACGAGGTTGGATTGCTTCTGGGGGAGTTGTTCTCGTCCCTATCGTGTCCGCCTCACTCCAAAGATGCCCCACACTTCAGGTGTGTGCAAAGGAAAAAAAAAAATCCACCCAGTGGTCCCTTTTGCTCAATATGCACGGTATTCCCAGCAGCTCCAATTTTGCTGGAATTCCGACCCTTTGCATTGGCGCAGTGGCTGCATTTACAAAGTGAGTGGTTTGTTTGAACGTGCGCTGCTCGAAACCATATTCACAAATACCTTATTTTTTGGGGTGGTGTGGGGGGGTGTGGTGGTGGGGGGGGGTGTGTGTGTGTATGTGTGCATCCGTGTGTGAAACGATTTGCATTTTCTCTCTCTCTCTCTCGGTGTAGCTGGACCTGGACGGTGCGCAAAAAAAAAAGCAGGGTCGCGATTTCCCGAAAGGATACCACTCCCCCCCCCCACACACCGAAAAAAGAAAGAAAGACGTTTTGCCCAATGTAGATTTGCTGTATTGCATCGAGGCTACGAGTTGCAATGTGGAATTTTTTTTTTTGGGGGGGGTGGGGGGGGGGGGTGGGGTGGGGGGTGCGATGCTGGTGATCGTTGAAACCTCCTGAGATGTATCTGGTTTTGCTGAACGAGTTACGTGACTGGTCGCAAGGCTGTCAAACGCTGGAGTTGCGATTCAATTGCAGAATCCGCACATTTGAAGAGTGGCTCCCCATGTCTTGCATTCGAACACTTCCGGTTTCACACACACACACACACACACACACAAAAAGATACTACGGCAATGTCTAACCATTACATAATCACACCTACAAAGCGGGGCTACAAACACCAGCGGATCAGATAGACTGCCACACAGATGTACAGCGATCACAGACCATTCAAAACGGCCTCTTCTTTGTTTACACGCACACACACACCACTCACACACACACACACCACTCACACACACACACACCACTCACACACACACACACCACTCACACACACACACACCACTCACACACACACACCACTCACACACACACCACTCACACACACACACCACTCACATACACACACACACACCACTCACACACACACCACTCACACACACACACACCACTCACACACACACACACCACTCACACACACACACACCACTCACACACACACCAATACACTCACCAACACTCACACACACCAAGACACTCACTCCCACTAAGACACTCACGCACCAACACACTCACACCCACCAAGAAACTCACCAACACACTCACACACCAACACACTCACACACACCAAGACACTCACCAACACACTCACACCCACCAAGACACTCACACACCAACACACTCACACACACCAAGACACTCACCAACACACTCACACCCACCAAGACACTCACACACCAACACACTCACACACACCAAGACACTCACCAACACACTCACACCACCAAGGCACTCACACACCAACACACTCACACCCACCAAGGCACTCACACACCAACACACTCACACCCACCAAGACACTCACCAACACACTCACACCCACCAAGACACTCACACACCAACACACTCACACCCACCAAGACACTCACACACCAACACACTCACACACACCAAGACACTCACCAACACACTCACACCCACCAAGACACTCACACACCAACACACTCACACACACCAAGACACTCACCAACACACTCACACCCACCAAGGCACTCACACACCAACACACTCACACCCACCAAGGCACTCACACACCAACACACTCACACCCACCAAGACACTCACCAACACACTCACACCCACCAAGACACTCACCAACACACTCACACCCACCAAGACACTCACACACCAACACACTCACACCCACCAAGACACTCACACACCAACACACTCACACCCACCAAGACACTCACACACCAACACACTCACACACCAAGACACTCACCAACGCACTCACACCCACCAAGACACTCACACACCAACACACTCACACACACCAACACACTCACCAACACACTCACACACACACACACACCAACACACTCACACACCAACACACTCACACACACCAACACACTCACACACCAAGACACTCACACACCAAGACACTCACACACCAAGACACTCACACACCAAGACACTCACACACCAAGACACTCACACACCAAGACACTCACACACCAGCACACTCTCACACCAACACACACACCCTAGCACACATACCACACACACACACACACACACACCAAGACACTCACCAACACACTCACACACTAACACACTCAACTCGCACTCACACCAACACACGCACACTCACCCCAGCACACACTGCGGACTTTTTTTTAAAAAAGAATAAAACTTCAAATGCTTTCTTTTTTAAAAAAAAGAGAAAAAAAAAACATGATTTTGTTTTCCTCTGCCATAAATTGAACATACCTATATTTTGCAAAGGTATTGATCTGGTTTCCTCCTTCCTCCCATCCCCACTTCCCCCAACCCACACCCCCCAATCTAACCCTCCAGATTTGACCAAAGAAAACCCATGTGAGCGTGTAAAAAGGTGGGGAAGGGTGTCCGCGGTTTGCGTTGCACTATCCACACAGCAAAGGACTGAGAGGAGGGAGAATCCAATCGCTTACTTTAGCAAATAATCTCTTGTGTTTTTTTTTCATAAATATTTTTTTCTTGGGGGAAAGAGAATTCTGTCTCTCGTTCTCCCCGTCTTTATTTCTCTCTGTCTTCCTCACTCTCTCTCTCTGTGTCTTTTTCTCTCTCTGTCTTCCTCACTCTCTCTCTCTCTCTCTCTGTGTCTTTTTCTCTCTCTGTCTTCCTCACTCTCACTGTGTCTTTTTCTCTCTGTGTCTTCCTCACTCTCTCTCTCTGTCTTTTTCTGTCTTCCTCACTCTCTCTCTCTCTGTCTTTTTCTCTCTCTGTCTTCCTCACTCTCTCTCTCTCTGTCTTTTTCTCTCTCTGTCTTCCTCACTCTCTCTCTCTGTCTTTTTCTCTCTGTCTTCCTCACTCTCACTCTCTCTGTGTCTTTTTCTCTCTGTGTCTTCCTCACTCTCTCTGTCTTTTTCTGTCTTCCTCACTCTCTCTCTGTGTCTTTTTCTCTCTCTGTCTTCCTCACTCTCTCTCTCTCTCTGTCTTTTTCTCTCTCTGTCTTCCTCACTCTCACTCTCTCTGTGTCTTTTTCTCTCTCTGTCTTCCTCACTCTCTCTCTCTCTGTCTGTCTTTTTCTGTCTTCCTCACTCTCTCTCTGTGTCTTTTTCTCTCTCTGTCTTCCTCACTCTCTCTCTCTCACTGTCTTTTTCTCTCTCTGTCTTCCCCACTCTCACTCTCTCTGTGTCTTTTTCTCTCTCTGTCTTCCTCACTCTCTCTCTGTCTGTCTTTTTCTGTCTTCCTCACTCTCTCTCTGTGTCTTTTTCTCTCTCTGTCTTCCTCACTCTCTCTCTCTCTGTCTTTTTCTCTCTCTGTCTTCCTCACTCTCTCTCTCTCTCTCCGTCTTTCTCCCTCTCTCTCAGTCTCCCTCCCTCTCCCTCTCCCTGTGCCACTCTGGTGTGCGGTGTGTGCGTGCGGATGGCGAGTCTGACAGCCACCGCCGCCCACAGTGATATCCGAGGTGTGAGTTACCTCCAGAGCTGTCCGAGTTGGAGGAGGTGAACGAGCGACTGCAGGAGGCAGAGGCAGAAGGAGCAGGAAGACCTCTTGCCGGCGGTGCCGGGGGCTCGGTTGGCCGATGGCTGCTGTTGCTGCTGCTGCTGCTGCTGCTGCCGCTGCGGGGACCGGGCACGGTGACAGTCCTCGCCCGCTGCCTTGCCGTCCACATGGCTGGCAGCGGAGGCGCCGGTCGCCGAGCTGCCGCCGTGGAAGTCGTGCACGAACCACCTGAAGCTGAAGACCTGGACGGCCACAGAGCCGAGCGCCGCGAAGAGCAGCGTGAGGGCGAACCACCAGTACCGCGAGCGCAGGTAGTAATCCACCGCCAGCCACAGGTCAGTGCCCACATCGCAGGCGTACACGGCCAGGGCGGCCAGCACCCACACCCCGTCCCACAGCGTGTACCTCTCCTCCCGGGCCGGACCCGGCCCGCGGGCCCGGCCCCGGCACCGGCACAGCCCGGCACAGCAGCGCGGCTCCAGCCTCAGCTCCTCGGCACCGGCACCGGCCCCGGGCTCCGGCGGCGGCTCGGCCCCCGCCCCCGCCCCGGCCTCGCCTTGTTCCCGGTCCCGCTCCCGGTCCCGCTCCCGGTCCCGGTCCTGCCCGGGGTTGGGGTAGTCGGAGTTCTGCAGTGGAGTGAAAGCCACGTCGCTCTTCTTCTTCTTCTTCATCTTCAACACTCCGTCTGACTTGGCAGCCATCAGATCCTCCTCCTCTACTCTACTCTTTCTCCTTCTTTCCCTCTCTCTCTCTCTCTCTCTTCTTTCTTTCTCTCTTTCCCCTCCTCTCTCTCTCTCTCTCTCTCCTCCTTCCTCCTCTCTCTCTCGCTCTGTGCCTTCAGCAGCTCCCAAATGAACAGGGCGACCTCCACTTCCGGCGTGTGGGGCTGGTTACAATCTCCTAAACTTCCGCCGCCTCCTCAGCTGATGGAGAGCCACTGGCCAAGTCCACCCCTCCCTCTCCCTCCTCCCTCCCTCCCTCCCTTCCTCTATCTCCTCCCTCCCCTCTCCTCCCTTCCTCTATCTCCTCCCTCCCTTCCTCTATCTCCTCCCTCCCTCCCCTCCTCTATCTCCTCCCTCCCTTCCTCTATCTCCTCCCTCCCTCCCCTCCTCTATATCCTCCCTCCCTTCCTCTATCTCCTCCCTCCCTTCCTCTATCGCCTCCCTCCGTCCCTTCCTCTATCTCCTCCCTCCCTTCCTCTATCTCCTCCCTCCCCTCCTCTATCTCCTCCCTCCCTTCCTCTATCTCCTTCTCCCCTCCCTTCCTCTATCTCCTCCCTCCCCTCCTCTATCTCCTCCCTCCCTCCGTCCCTTCCTCTATCTCCTCCCTCCCTTCCTCTATCTCCTGACTCCCTCCCTTCCTCTATCTCCTCCCTCCCCTCCTCTATCTCCTCCCTCCCTCCCCTCCTCTATCTCCTCCCTCCCTTCCTCTATCTCCTCCCTCCCCTCCTCTATCTCCTCCCTCCCTCCCTTCCTCTATCTCCTCCCTCCCCTCCTCTATCTCCTCCCTCCCTCCCTTCCTCTATCTCCTCCCTCCCCTCCACCTCCTTTTTTTTCCCTGCTCTGTGGCTTCCCGGCTGGACAAGGTGGGTGAGGTTCCCATCCTTCCCCTTTACCAACCCATCTTCCCAAAGAAAACCCAACCCGGCGATCCCCAGGTGCCAAAGGGAGATAGAGAGCAAATACTCTCCTCTCCCCCTCTCTCCCCATTTCCTTTATGTATGTGTCCAGTTTCCCCCCCACCCCATCCCACCAAACCCCCCCCACCCCCTCCACACACCCCCTCCACACCCCCCCATCAAAAAAAGGTTTCAGCACTTTGATTCCAGTTTCTAATGAAGGGCATTTTTTTATTGCAAAAGCTCTGCTGATGTATTCTGTGTATTACCGCATGTATGTATTCTTAAAGCATTCTTGCACTGTAAATAATAAAACATGACATTTGTTCAGTATTAGGGTTGGCAGTAGCCGATTTCTAAATTGTTTTTTTAAAAAAAAGACAATATTAATGGCTGTTTGTTGGTCACTCCCCTGTGCAAATTGGCTGCCGAGTTCACCGACAAAATATACGGTTGTTCCATTTTTCAGTAAATCCTGTGAAGTGCTTTGAGACATTTTCCCGACGTAAAAGCTATGATATCAAATGCTAGGAGTGTTATTAAAATATAAGAGGGAAAAAAGAGAAAACCAGAACTTTCTGGTGTCCCACCAGAATGTGTGCACTCACTGTGCACTTGATCACAGATGACAGTCAAAATACACAGTCACTGCACTTTACAACAAAATCCTGTTTGAGACAACATCCCAATATGAAAAACACTATATCAATTGTTGTTATCCCTTTGCTTGTGCTTGGCTTTCAAATGCATTCAAAACACTTTTTAATCATTGCACCCCTTGTATCTTCTTCCCAATTAGGTGATACATATCAACATTGAACGTTCCTACATTGTAATGTGCAGTATTCCGATGTTCTTTCCAGAGTTGATCAGAGAAATAGTGAAGTCCTACAGCTCAATGGTTGGAGCACTAGCCTCACAAGCAAATGACCTGGGTTGATTCCTGGCAGGGCAAACCTTGGGCAAGTTTCCCTACTCCACACGCCTGATAATAATCCCTCAAGAAAAGAAACAATAATAAATTGTTCACTCCAATCCATGACTGTTTGTGGGACACTGCTGTGCTCAATTGGCTGCCGGGTTTCACCCACAAATATACAGTCAATTTACAGTATATTCATTGAAGTACTTTGAGACGTCTGTAAGATGTGAAAAGCGCTATATCAAATGCAAAGTTTATTAGATATATATCATATATACATGAAATTACACAGAACATTAAAACAGCAACAACAACTTGCATTTACATAGTGCCACTCACGCAGGGTAGCGTCTGAGAATGCTTGACAGTGGTGGAGCACGTCGTCGGGGGGTGGTGACCGAAGGCACGGTCGAAGAGGAGGGTCTTCAGGCATGAGCTGAAGATGGGGAAGCAAGGCGGAGGGACAAAGGAAGAGTGTTTCCAGAGTTTTGGGGTATAGAAATGTTCTTGTTGTTGGTTAAAGCTAACATTTGTAAAAATCCCCCCACCCCCCTTCCCCCCCTCCCAAAAAAAACCTGGTAAAATAAACTTCGATATTACCTATCAATTTTTTTCAAAATGGAAAGTTGGCAACCCTGTTTATAATGGTAAACAAAAAAAATGGTGGTTCACATTGAAATTCAGACCACAAGTAATTCAACTATTAAGTAATGGGAGGAAACATATGGGATATGATATGATGTGATATTTATCACCAGTAATGAATTTCAAATACAACACATCACATACATAAGGGAAAAGGGAATAAGAACAACAACTTGCATTTATATAGTGCCCTCCACTTCGGGCGGAGTCTCAGAGCGCTTAACAATGGCGAAGGGATTGAGGGAGGGAATTCCAAAGTTTCCTGGCATAGTGGTATGGGAGTATGGGAGAGGATATTAGGAGGGGCAGAGTAAAGGGGTATGGGAGAGGTGATTAGGAGGTGCGATGGCTCTTGTCGCGTATAAACACTCTCACTGACTATTTGGGCTAAATGGCCTGTTTCAGGGCGGTGCAGCTCATGTAATAATATACACTACATTAGTGTTGATCATTTGGAGGTCTGTCACATGTGGAATTCCATTGCCATGCTTAATAGTATCAAAAACAAATTGAGAGTTCCATATGTGCGTGACAGCTATACATGGAAATTTCCCATTCTCTGGAACATATGCACATTCTCCTTCTGGAGGCAGTGCAGGTTGGTACGAGCCAAGGCACGAGGACCCCAAAGTGTGTGTTGGCATACTGCCAGGGGAGTTTAACTAGGGAAGTTTAACCACTGGAGCACTGCGGACTGCCACAAAGGATTGACTCATTCTGACATTTTGTTGTCAGGCATGTTACCTTGCAGCCATCTCAGCTCCAAGGGGAGACCACTTATTCCTCCCCTTAAATTCTTAAATCAAGGATCTCAGGAGCATTCCATGTTTGTACTAGAATGATCTATAATGCATGTGAAATGGAAGTATCTGCATTGGAATACTAATCTTATCAAAGATTAGTATTCCAATAAGATATTAATAAGACAATATATTTTCAAAAGGAGAAGATTCTGGCCAAAATAAACTGGTATTGTTGTAGCTAGAATTTCTGAATGCCCATTGAATATGAAGGATCCGAGCTGAATCATGGATCACAGTGTAAAACACCTACATCAGCGGATTCAGTGTCTGCCTATAAATACTATGCTTTACAGTAAAACCCTGTGAAGCACTTTGAAGCATTTCAATGATGTTGTATCAAATGGAAAGATTATTATTATTATTTTTATTATTACTACTATTAGTTTAAAATCCTATTCATGTCCTGCACAAAATATACTTTCAGCACCAACCTTACTAAAATTACTCAATGTATTAATATTAATATCATTGTCGCGCCTCTAACCAATTGAAAGTATTGTTTGCCAATACAATACAGTGGAAGATGCAGATTTCAAACAGCACAGACTTCACAAAAGGATGTGCATCCTCCATGGTAATAGCTGCTGTTCTGTTGCTTAGTTACCTGCAGATGTGTCTCAATGTTAGCAGAATCAACTTTATTTCCTTCACCATCTGGCTGGGAGAAGGCAAGGTGTGTGTGTGTTGGCGGAGGTGAAGAGAGGTTTACTGGTACTTCTATTTGAATCTATCTATACATATATGTATGTATATGTACATAGTATAGTGTTTTTAAACCTGACAACTTATTTTAAGTGACATTATCAATTTATCTTTGCAATGCGTTTATTATTTTCTTAGTTTATCAGGACCAAAGCCTTTGAGGTTAACCTGAACCAAAATAAGGAATTTACTGGTACATAGTATTTGGCTTGTTGCCTTGAGACAGTAAATGAATGATCATGACATTACTGAAGTATATTAAGGAGCTTCGTGTAGCTCATTTCATGATGTACTATTTAGTTCATGGGGTGACAATTGCAATATTGTGATGTGCTAATTAACACCTATGGTGCTAATTAGCACATACATTGAATTTAGTGACTTTATGATAATTAAAGCAATGACTAATCCCTGGGTGTCCTGAAGGTAGAGCCTCTCACCCCCACACTTCTCATTGGTCACGGCATGAAGTAGGTCACACCACATTGGATTTCTGGCTCAAACATCACAACATTGGTTGGCAGTTGTTACTAAAAAAAAGCTGTATTCCACTAAATGGTACAGCCATGAATACGGGTGGTGGTCCCCTTCCAGCACTTCCTGGTGGGGGGTGGGGGTGGGGGGAGGGGGAGGGAAATTAGTCGATTTGTTCATGATCATGAAGTCACTAAGTGCTGTGCATTATTGATGAGAACATCACGTCATTGCAATTTTCACATGCACATTTGTTATTTTTGTCATGATTGAATTTGTTCCTCATTCCATTGATAAATAAGATTTGTTCCCCTTTTTGTTAAATTTAGGTTTTATTATATTTCCCCCACACTGCCTCTTAGAAATTGGAAACAACGTTGTGATACATAAAGTATTTGATTAAAGACAAGATTGAAACAACTGCTAACATATCTGGTGAAATCAACAGTTTTGAAATGTAATGGTAGTATAATTGATTGGTTTTACATTACACATTCTGTTGGCACATAAAAATACAGTTAAATAACCTGCCTGATTTTGCCATTAGGTATCATTTAATTTTTAAGGGCTGTATAGATAAACAATAAGA